CGCAATCGGAATAGCAAACGTAAGAGAAATAGACACGGAAAAAATGTTAATAGTAATCTGGATCGTCCTCAGAATACTAAAAGCAATCAGAACAGTGATAGGATTAGCAACCGCAATAGAAATAGTAAGAGTAATACTGAAAAAATTGAAATAGTAATAACAAAAAAAAAACACGAAAAATCATACGAATGAGACGATTAAAAACAATTGATAAAATAACCACCAGAACCGTACGAATAAAAAACAGCAGTAGTAGTAATAGTGATAGCGGTTGAAGTAATAATAGTAATAGTACTAGTAATACTCGTCGTAATACGAGTAGTAGAAGATAAAAATTTCCTGGCGAAAGACCCAACCATATGCAGTTGTGAGTGCCGCAATTGTGAGCACCTTCTTCGGTGGCGCTCCCTACGGGGCCACGAACCGCATGAGGGGCATGCCGAAATATGGCGGGGTACACAACGCAAAGGAATACGATAGGTCAGATTACGAAAGAATGAACGCGGGTGAGCCAGAGCGCGAGAGAGTCTGAGTGTGAATGAGTCTGCGTGGGAGTGAGTATATTCGCATGCATGCGATCTTGGCTACGCCTAGTGTAAATGCATATGAATGTGAATGGCTCGAGCATGCCTGTCCGAACACTCGTGACACTGGGCGTGGCCGCCGCAGGCAGCTTCCGCGAGAACCCCGACGGCAGCGCCCGCGCGCCGCGACGCCCATGTCGGCACGCCCCTCACGGGGATCGCACCCGCTTCCGCCCCTTCTTTTCCCCCCTCTTTGCCTGCGCGCACCAAAAATCCAAAGCTGCGGGCGCAGAGCAGCGCGGAGTCCCCGCGACGCGCGCAGGTCGCCGCGGACGGGGCCCAGCGACGCGCGCAGGTCGTCCGCTGCGCGGAGCACAGAGAGCTAGCCGGCCGGCCGATTGCGGGCAAGGCTCCGGCCGCTGGGCAGAGCGACGACGGGCGAGCGAGGCGCTGAGCAGAGCGCCGCGCGGAATCCCCGCGACGCGCGCTGGTCGACCCGAGAGGGTCCCAGCGACGCGCGCGGGTCGTCCGCGGCGCGAGGCCGAACAATTATTATGCGGGCAGTCGAGAGAAGGCGCGGCTCGGGGGGGCGCCCCTCAGGTCAGGCCTCGCGGATAAACTCGGTGAAGCCGAGCTCCCTGGCGAGGGCCGTCGCCCCCCTCCTGCACCGCTTCGCGCGCGCTGCAAACTGCCCCAGCTGCTTTCGCAGGCCCTCCGGCGGTCCTGCCAGGAAGAACTCGATGCGCGGCGCCCGCATGAGCAGGAGGTCCTCGTGGCGCGTGGCGCGCGAGAGCAGCACATAGAGCTCCAGCCACCAGTCGTCGCCCTCCTTCTTGCCGTTCCCGACCTCGTGGCGGCCGCAGTCCAAGATCACACCTGGGCGACTCGGCCGAGGGGGCAGTGCGCCGGGCAGCCGACGGCCCAGGGCGAGAGTCCACAGGACCGAGGTCTGGCCGCGGACTGCTCGCGCCCCGGAGGTCTGGCCGTCCCCGGAGCGCCGTTCCCCCGAAACGTGTGAGGGGTGTGCCAAAAAGGGGCGGTGGCGCCATGCGAGCTGCGCCACTTGGACCTCAGGTGGAGCTCCCTGAGGGGCCACGAAATCTGTGAGGGGTGTGCCAAAATGGGGCGGTGGCGCCATGCGAGCTGCGCCACTTGGACCGTAATGGAGCTCCCTATGGGGCCACGAAACGTGTGAGGGGTGTGCCAAAAAGGGACGGTGGCGCCATGCGAGCTGCGCCACGTGGACCTTAGGTGGAGCTCCCTATGGGGCCACGAAACGTGTGAGGGGTGTGCCAAAAGGAGCTCCCTGAGGGGCCACGAAATCTGTGAGGGGTGTGCCAAAATGGGGCGGTGGCGCCATGCGAGCTGCGCCACTTGGACCTCAGGTGGAGCTCCCTGAGGGGCCACGAAACGTGTGAGGGGTGTGCCAAAATGGGGCGGTGGCGCCATGCGAGCTGCGCCACTTGGACCGTAAATGGAGCTCCCTATGGGGCCACGAAACGTGTGAGGGGTGTGCCAAAATGGGCGTGCGGGACGCATGCGGGCACACCCACTGGGACCTTCGGTGGAGCTCCGTATGGGGCCACGAAACGTGCGATGATGGCGACGAGGACAACGATGATGGTGATGACGACGATGATGGTGATGATGACGATGATGGTTATGATGGCGGCCATGATGTTGATGCTGATGACGATGATGATGATAATGATGATGATGATGATGACGATGATGATGATGATGAGGATGATGATGATGACGATGAGGATGATAGGAGGGGAGAGGAGGCGGAGGAGGAGAGGAGGAGGAAGGAGACGCGGGGCACCGTCTCTTCAAAACGAGGACCCAACACCACAGGATGGTTTGGGGGAAAAAATTGAAGTAATAGTAGTAGTAGTAGTCGCAGTGGTAGTAGTACTAGTAGTAGTAGTAGTAGTAGTAGTAGTAGTAGTAATAGTAGTAGTACTACTACTACTACTACTACTACGAGTGATACTGGCAGTCCCGATAATAATAGTAGTAGTAGCAGTAGTAGTAGTAGTAGTATTAGTGGTAGTAGTAGTAGTAGTAGTAGAAGTAGTAGAAGTAATAGTAGTAGTAGTAGTAGTAGTAGTAGTAGTAGTAGTAGTAGTAGTACCGCCTCGCTACACGGCAGGTGGGGGGTTGGCCGAGCCGACCCAACCCCCTACCTGAAGGACCGTCCAGTCCAGCTCAGGGCGCCAGGGGCACTCTAGAGCAGAGCCTCGCGGGCCCCGAACCCTTGTCGGAGCCCCGCAGAGGCCAGAGGGCCCCCAACCCTCTGAGTCGGGGCCACTCCGAGCCTGCAGGGCCTACACCGAAGTACGAGCCTCTGCACCGCAAGAAAGAGAAGAGGGGCGCCTCCAACCCTCTTAGTCGGAGGCCTCCCCTTCGATCTCGTCGGGGTCTCCCTCGGACCTCCGAGCAGCACGCTGCCTGGCCGACCAGGAAAGGAAGTCGGCCCCCTGCTCTGGCCCGACCCCAAAACGCAACAGCGCTTGCGAGCGGGGCAAGCGTTGAGCTGGGCCCGGCTGCCCGCTGCCCGTGGCCCTGCTGGCCTCGGGGGCGGCGGGAGGCGCAAGCCTTTGGCTGAATTTCACTTGCCAGGCCTCGGAGGGAAAAAGCTGTTCCCCGAGGCGCCATGCTCCGCGGCCGCCCTTCACGCTAGGGAACAGCCCTTTGCGAATCCTATCAATCTGTGGCTCACGTCCTGCCCCCGTGCCGAACGGCCTCAGGATACCCATCATGCGCTGGTGGGCATAGGCGTAGCACTTCACGCAATGGACCATGGTGGAGCCATCCGTGCCAGGCCCCGCGATGGCCCTCTCGACGATGGCGTGGCCTCCGATCAACCAAGGCGTCCGAGGTCGTCGGGCTGCAGGTGGCTCGTCGCCCTCCGACGAGGCCCGCGCCGCTGCAAGGGCCACCACCGCCGCGCCAGCCGCCGCCCAGGAGGCCTCGGCTGCGTTGGGGCCTCAGGCTCCTCGTAGCCCGCCTCGGGCTCCGAGAGCTCCAGGATGATGTCGCTGGCGTGGTCGATCTGCTTCCGATCCGCCATGCGCGCGTGGAGCTTACCCGTGAAGATCATCGCCTGCCTTGCGATGAGGTCGAGGCCGTATGCGACGTCCAGCTGGTCGTCTGCCAGCGCCAGCTTCGCCCCCTCCTTCGCCGCCTCGTCGGCGAGCCTGTTGCCTGCACGCTGCCACCAGGTCGCGCGGTCTGCCTCCACGTCGGCAGCGGTAGCGTGGGCCAGCACCTTGGTGACCGTGTAGCTCCGCGAGCCGTCGAAGGAGGCGTAGAACGCGTTCCACATGTGGGCCCTCGACGACCCAGGGCGGCATGCCCATGCTGCCCCCCTCAGGTCGACGTGGCCCTCGCAGAGGAAAGCCGCCATGCGGTATGCGTAGTCCTCGCCGTCCCGCGCTTCCTGCCGCGGCGCCATGGAGAGGGGCACCCATCCCCAAGCTGCAGCGACCAGGCGCCCGTGTCCGTCACACTGTACGAGCGACCAGCCCGCCCGCTGCAGCTCTGGCCACCGCGTGCCGACCGCGCTGCCGTCGGTGAAGATGAGGCCGGTGAGGTACCCCGAGGCTGGGCGCCGACACCACAGCACTGGATCACCATCAGGGTCGCGCCTCGGGATCACATGGTCGAGCGACGGGAAAAGGCACCTGCCGAACATCTCGCCGCAGTTGCCTCCTGCAGCCCGTGCCACCTCCGCGTGCCGCAGGAGCTCGGGTGAGGCCTCGTCCTTGCGGAACGCCGCGTGGCCGTCGCAGCCGTACAGCCTGTGCCAGAGTGTGCCAGGAGCGCTCCTGCACATGAGGCATTCCCACTCTGAGGCCATGCCTCTCTTGTAGAGCCGCGTCTGGGAGAGTACCGTGCCTGATATGACTGAGTGGAGGGCCGCTCGCTGGTGCTGCTGCCAGCCGAGCGACTCCTTGGTCCTGCCCAGCCGCTGCAGCGACCCCCAGTACAACTCCGAGCTCTGGTGGGGGTAGAGCCTGAAGGTGGCGTCGCGGTCAGACCACCTCTTGGCCGCTCCCTCTGCCAGCTCCTTGCTGAAGAACGGCGAAACCCTGGCGAGGTCGACCTCCAACCCCTGGTCAGTGGTGACGTGTCTGCAGCCCTCGATGGACCAGCCGAGCCTGCTGATGGTGAGGAAGAAGGCTGCCACGGGGTCTCTGCAGGTTGCCCACGGCCGCTTCGCCGTCACGAAACGCTGCTTGGCCTTCTCCAGCAGCGCGCTGAGGGCGAACGGCGTGGGGTAGCCCAGCCAGAGCGCCATGCCGAACTGCAGCACGACCTGGCCTGCGTTCACCACAGCGGGGTCCCTCTCGATGCCTTTGGGGTAGCACCTCAGCCGCAGGCCGACGGATGCACCTGGCGCAAAGGGCCCCTCACCACGCGCTGCAGCCACGCGTCGCCCGTGCAGGACCGAGGGGGCGAGGCCAGTCGTGGCCGAGCCCCAGGTGGCGGCTGCCGTGGGGCCGCCCCTCCGCACCGTGGCGACCTTGGCCCCAGCCGTCCTCAGCACCTGCAGCCGCCGAGACCTTGCCAGCGCATCCTCGACGCGCTGCGCCCCGATGGCGGTGCGCCTCCAGCGTCCGTCGTGCACGTCGTTGCCTAGCAGCCTGCCACGCTGCGCCCTGCCGTCACCGGCGGGCCACTCCGACTCCAGCTGCTTCGCAACCTCCGCATCGGGCGTGAGGTAGCATAGCTTCCCGAAGTGGCCGGGCGCCCGCTTCTCGTCGAAGCAGCCCAACAGCATGCGCGTGGCTGGTCCTAGTACTGCCTTCACCATGCCCGTGGTGCCAACGGTCTGGAGCGCGAAGTCGTCGACGACGGTGCCCAGCCGCACGCTGGGGTAGAAGGCCGCAACCTTCTTGAAAGATCTGAAAAGAAGAAGCTTGGCAATCCCCGTCGCGCAGGAGCAGCCTGCAAGCACCGTGCCCGTAGCTCGAAAGGGCGAGCTGCAGGCCCCGTCAACCGCGATGACTCTGTAGCCTGAGTACGCGACGCAGCACGCCCTGAGGAGCTTGACGGGGAAGCCCGTAGCTTGCGCCTCCACCAAGAGCTCCTTGTGGCTGGTGTTCTCGTAGAACTTCCGTAGGTCGCCCAGGACCGTGCCCGTGCTGAGGCCTTTCTCATAGGCAAGGGCCGTGAGGGTCTGGTGTACCCAGCCAGCCCTCTCACACGCGTTGAGCTAGCTCCCCGCCAATGTACCAGACCTCGTGGTGCTGCGCCCCCCAGTCCCTGACGATGGGCCCGCGCATGGCCGACCAGAGGCGAATCTGAAGGCAGGTGAGCGCAATAGGCCTCCGTCAGCCTTGGCGCGGAAGACGATGACCGAGAGCCAGTCCAAGTAGGCCTCGGGCGCGTCCTCCCAGCTGGCCAGCACCTCGAGGAGCCTGACCAGGAAGGACTCGTCCAGGCGGAGCAGCTGCCTCGGGTGGAGCTGGCCCCACCCCAGGCCAGCCCACCTCCCGTACCGCTTGAGCAGGTGCCTGAGGCTGCCCACCTCGAGGTTCGGCAGCGGCTCGGTCGCCCCCCAGCTGGCCGCTTCCTCGAGCCCTCCTCGGCGCCGAGGATCCAGCCAGAGCGGGGGCCACTCCTTGAGGCAATGCTGCACTGCCTCGTCGCCGTTGACGGGAAGCACGTCGCCCCCATCCTCGTCCGCCGTGACGAGGGTCGCCTTGGCCAGCGGCTCGGGCTTGGAGAAGCGATGGGCCAGCTCCCCCCCGCCTGTGGCCGCACCCTTGGCCCAGGCCTGCCACTGCTTCCTGGCAGCTGCGGCGTCGCTGCGCTGGCTGGCCTGCGGCTGGGCCCTGGCGTGCTCGATGAGCCTCCTCCTCAAGGCCGCGTCGCTAGAGGTAGCTGCAGCGCCCAGCTCACCCCTGGGCACGGGGGCCCTACTGCCGTCGTAGTCCGCCAGGCGCATCGCATTCAGGCGGCTGCGCAGGCTGGCCAAGCCCTGCGAGTCCTTCCCTCGCGCCACCAGCAAGTCAGCGCGCTGCAACAGGCTGGCCAGACCACCCCAGGCGCGGGTCTCATTCGAGCTGAGCTGGGCCCAGCGGCGGCGGCTGGCGTCGGCAATCGAAACGTTGACGAAGCGCACTCCATCCGCCCTGCCAGCGAACTTCTGAGCCTCGTCGCCGTACAGGTCGTAGAGCGGGAGAAGGTAGCCCTCGGCGTGACTAAGCCACTCCTGCATGGCAGCCCTCGGGCTAGAGGGGACCGCGCCCTCTTCCCAGGTCCAGGCAGGCAGCGGGACCCAGGGAAGGCAGCCGATGGCCCGATCGAACGGCAGCCGCGCCGCGCGGTGCAGCTGCTGCACCGTGGCGTCTGCATGCAGCCCTCGCACCCCCAACAGGACGGGGCTGCGCGGCCCGATGGGGGCCTCGACCACGGGCCCATGGCTGAACACGAACTGCTGGAGCTCGTCGGAGATGATCGCGAAGTCGAGCTCGTTGAGCGCCCCCGCCCTGCAGGTCGCCGCCCCTGTATGTAGCACGAGTCCTCCAGCCGTCGCCGCCCACGCCGCGACCTGGAGGGGGTCCATGTTGAAGTCGCCTGCTAGTATCCACGGCCGCGCCGCCACCCTGAGCTGCGACGCCACATCCCATAGGATGTCTGCGTTGGCCTCACTCATGCCCTCCCCGTCGCGGAGGTAGACAGACATGAGATCGATGGCGAGCCCGTCGCCTATGTTGACCACCCGTCTGAGCACGCGGTGGGGCTGCTTGAACTTGGTGTCGAGCGTGGCAACTGCGAACCGCTGCCGAACACCGATGCCCACCCCGCCTGAGACGGACTGAGGCCCGTCACCCGTGCTGAGCCCTGCAGCAAGGTCGAAGTCGAAGCCACGCTTCCGATGCCAACGCTGAACTGCCTCTCTGCCGACTTCACGCACACGCGTCTCCTGCACGAAGGTGATGTCTGCTGCTGGCCGCCTCATCGGCCCTGCAACATCGAGACTGCGCAGGCCGTCCAGCCAGTCGAGGAAGTCCCGATAGCCCTTCTCGGTGTTCGAATTGACAGAGTAGAGCCACAGGCTATCAAACCCGAGGCCGCTTGAACTGTGCCCCGATGAGGTCGCTGAAGCGCTTGCGGCGCTGCTCGTAGCTCTCACCTTCTGGGGCTTCCCCCATGAGACTGTCGACCAGCTCGTCGGGGACGGGTACGGACTCACCTCCTGGCTCAGCACTGCCAGGGACACCCTCGTGGCTATCCCCATCGCCGCAGCCAGCAGCACCAGCAGCAGGTGCAGCGTCGTCGGCAGCTTCCAGTGACTCCTGCTCCTTCTTGACGACGTCCTGCAACTGGATGAGTCCGTGGAGTACTGCCTGGTTCTCCACTGCCGTAGCCTTGAACTGCTCGAGGACCTTGGCCAAGCCCCTGAGCCCGTCGCCGAGGACGCCAGCGGCGTGGCGAGACTCGATCTCGGCGTCGGCCGCCTGCAGCTTGCCCTTGAGCTCGGCAACCGAGTCTTTGGCCTCGCAGATCCGCAGGTCGAGCTTGGCACGCTGGTCCTCGAGCTCAGCGACCTTGGCGAGCGCCTTCTGGTGCTGTCCCTCGAGCTTCCTGCGCTGCCCCTCGAGGGCTGGGAGGCTCTTGGGCTTGGGCGGCTCGGAGTACTTGGCCTCAACGGCTTTGACGCAGCTCGTGGCCTGCTCGCCTCCTCCCAGCTTCTGGAGCTCCTCCTTGAGGTCACTGAGGGCGGTGAGCTTGGCCTTGGCGCTGTCTGCCTTGGAGCCCACTAGGGCCACGAAGCATATGAGGGGTATGCCGAAATTGACCCGGATCCTCCGGTGAAACCCACTGGGGCCACGGAACGTGTGAGGGGTGTGCCGAAGTGGACCCGAGACCTTCGGTGGAGCCCCCTGTGGACCTGACCCGAAACCTTCGGTGGAGCTCACTCGGGCCACGAAACGTTTGAGAGGTGTGCCGAAATGAACCCGAAACCTTCGGTGGAGCCCCCTGTGGGGCCACGAAGCGTGTGAGGGGTGCGCCGAACTGGACCCGAGGCCTTCGGTTGAACCCCTTGTGGGGCCACGAAACGTGTGAGGGGTGTGCCGAAAGGCGCCTGAAACCTTCGGTGAAGCCCACGGGGGCCACGAAACGGATGTGCCGAAGTTGACCCGAATCCTTCGGTGAAACCCACTGGGGCCACGAAACGTATGAGAGATGTGCCGAACTGGACCCGAGGCCTGGGTGTGCCGAAATTGACCCAATCCTCCTTCGGTGAAGCCCACTGGGGCCACGGAACGTGTGAGAGGTGCGCCAGACTGGACCCGAGGCGGCCTCCTGGGGCCCCTGTGGGATCCCCACGGAACCTCAAGGGACCCCGATGGAATCCCTAGAGAACCTCATGGGACCCCTATGAAAGCGAACGAAACCTCATGGGCCCCCCTGTGAAATCCCATACAGACCCGATTGGCCCTTTTCGGGCCCCGTTGTGCTGTTGTTCGTTGTTCGCCCCCCCTCGGGGCCCCAACAGCCAGCTGCATCAATAACAACAACAATAGCAGCAAGAACAACAACAAAAAACGAAAACGACAAAAATGACAGCAACAACAACAATGATAAAAAAACAACAGCAACAACAACAAAAAAAACAACAGCCGTAACAAGAACAACTGCAGCAACAACAACAATAACAACACAACACAACAGCAGCAGCTACAACAATCATAACAACAATAACAACAGCCATAATGGTAGTAATAACGAATAGAAGCAACAACAATAACAACAACAACAACAGCAGCAACAACAACAGCAACAACAACAACAGTAATAACAATAACAATAACAATAACAATAACGATAACAATAACAATAACAATAGCCATAACAACAACAGTGACACCACCACCACCAACAACAACAACAACCTCATCATCAACGACTACCACAACAACTGCGTCAACACCATCAGCATCAACATAACAATCACAATCATCAACATCGTCATCATCATAAGCATCAGCATCATTATTGTCATCATCGTCATCATCGTCGTCACCGTCATCGTCATCGTCCTCATCATCAGCATCATCTTTGTTGTTCTCATTATCATATTTACCACCACCACTGCCACCATCATCATCATCGTCATCATTATCATTATCATTGTCGTCCTCATCGTCTTCGCCGTCATCGCCGTCGTCATCCTCATCATCACCACCAAGACCATCATCAGCATGATCATCATTCGTCACATTCATCATCATCGGCAGCAGTATCATAAGCATGTTCATAGTACCTATCGTCATCAACGTAGCCATCACAATCACAATCACCATCACTATTACCATGGCCGTCATCACCACCAGCATCATCATAACCATCATCACCACCGTCATCATGATCATCGCGATCAGCAGCATCAGCATTATTATCATCATCATAACCATCATCATCAGTATCATCATCATCTTGACCATCATCATCCGAATCATCGGCATTGTGATCGGCATCACCATCGTCAACGTCATTGGCAAATCGTAATCAACACAATCAACACCCTCAACACAATCATCATCACCACCACCATCACCATCACCATCACCGTCACCACAACCATCATCATCACCATCGCCATCACTATCACCATCACCATCATCAGCAACATCATTATCATCAGCATCAGCAACATCATCATTTTTATGAGCATCATCATCATCACCGTTATCATCATCATCGCCATCACCATCATCATAAAAAATGATGACGAAAAACCGCCGACCATGTCGGCGCGTGTGAGGATTTGTTCAGTTTGAGTCGTCGTCATCACCGCTCCCCTCCCTTGAAGATTTTCCATTTGAGTCGTCGTCGTCGCCGTCGCCGCTCCCCCCTGTCCCTGGGACCTCCTCCTCAAACGTTCCAGCTAATTAAAGGGCAAGCGAGCAACGTCGCTATCGAGTCGAACGAAAGACCCTTCCCTGTGATCCCTCACCCGCTTGGAAGGCGGGGGTCCCGAGGGGGGTCTCAGGGGTGGGTTGGGGGGCGGGCCGGGGGGGAGCCTGGGGATTGTGACCGCATGTCGGACCCATCCCAACCCATTGGTGTTACCAATTACAGCCGACCTGGCCACTCCCCCACTGACCCAAAAAACAACTGGTACCAATTACGACCAGCCACCTCGAGCCGACAGTGACAGCCTACGCGTGTGCACAAAATTTCAGGACGACTCAGACACCAAATGAAAGTCTTGAGGGGCCCCAGCGGGAGAAGAGCTCTGGCCGCGCTGCTCTGCCCCGGGCGCCCAGCTTCCACGCCGCCACCCTGGGACCTGGACCGCCGAGCCCTCCCCGCCGCCGGCCGCCACCGACTGGACACCCCGCCCCGCCCCCTTGGGGCACGCGCCGCCTGCACCGCCCGCCCAGCCGAAACGCCCGCCGCGGTCACGCGGCACGTCGCGGCCGCCCCCCGCCACCTGGGCAAGGGCGTGCGCCCTCGAGCACACGGAACCTCCCTCGGCGCCGAGGGACGCCGTCGTGCCCGGTCTGGGGCGGCAGCGCCAGCAGCATCCCTCCACGGCCAGCGGCGCCGTCGCTGCTGCCGCCGCCGGCACCGCGCTGCAGCCTTCGTCACCCGTGCTGTCGCCATCGAGGAGGAGTGGGAGGAGGAGGAGGAGGAGGAGGAGGAGGAGGAGGAGGCGGAGGAGGAGGAGGAGGAGGAAGAGTCTGTCCCCGGCCTCGCTCCAAGCCTTCCCCCCGCCACCCCCCTCAGCTGAAATGATCCCGATGTTCCCACCGCTCCCGCGCGAGAGGTGCGGAAAAGGAAGAAGGGAGAGGAGAGCAACAAGGGCCCCGCCCCTCCCGTGCGCGAAGCAGCACATCTTCTTGTCGCAGCACTGCGGTTCGGTGCACGGTTTTGTCTTGAACTTGGCCGCATGGTACGATACCTCCTGCGGCAAATGGCACAAGCAAGCCGCCCCCGTCCGTTTACTGGGGCAAGCTGTTCGTGGCAGCTGGACTACACCCTACCCATGGCCTTCCCCCCCAAAAAATGGAGAGGGGAAGGGGAGGACAATGACGAGACCGAGAAGGAGGAGGAGGAGGAGGAGGAGAAGGAGAGAAGGAGGAGGAGAGGCGAGGAGGAGGGGAAGGGGGAAGGAGGAAGAGGAAGGAGGAAAAGGAAGAGGAATGGGAAACCGATCTTTGCTTGGTCACAACATGTTCCCTACCTAGGCTCTGCCTAGAAGGGTTCTTACTCTCTTAACTTAAAGGGGCCGGGCAGTGGAAATCGCCCCGGGCGGTTCCCCCAGTCCCCTGGGAGCGGTTCCCCCCAGTCCCCTGGGAGCTTTAGCTTCAGCTTTAGCTTTAGCTTTAGCTTAGCTTTAGTTTAGCGTTAGCTTAGCTGTAGCTTAGCTTTAGCTTAGCGTTTCGCTTAGCTTTTCGCTTAGCGTTTAGCTTAGCGTTAGCTTAGCTTTAGCTTAGCTTTAGCTTAGCTTTAGCTTAGCTTGAGCCTAGCTGTAGCTTAGCTTTAGTTTAGCTTTAGCTTAGCTGTAGCTTAGCTGTAGCTTAGCTTTAGCTTAGCTGTTGCTCAGCTTTAGCTTAGCGTTAGCTTAGCTTTAGCTTAGCTTTAGCTTAGCTTTAGCTTAGCTTTAGCTTAACTTTAGCTTAGCTGTAGCTTAGCTTTAGCTTAGCTTTAGCTTAGCTTTAGCTTAGCTTTAGCTTAGCGTTTCTGTTACTACTAATGCTGCTTTCCTAGGGGTTCCAACTCCTAGGTAGGGTCGCACTGGGATAATTTTTTTTGTCCGGCCCCAGGCGCCGCCACACGCAAGCACCGCCCCGCACGTGCAGCGGCAACCCCGCAGCTGCGCTGGAAACCCGGCCAGATTGCACCGGTGCCATCGCGGGAATTGAATTTCACACAGGAGGCCAATAGAGGGAGGAGGAGGAGGAGGAGGAGGAGGAGAAGGAGGAGGAGGAGGAGGAGGAGGGGAGG